AAAAAAATTATCACATATAATATTAATTAAAGTTTTTTTTAAAAATTAAATATATTATTATATAGTACAATTAATTCTTAACTTTTTGCTAGTATTTTTCATCAAGTATTCTAATTTATAAATTATTACTCAATGTTACTCTACATCTTATATAGTCTCAGATTTATTTCTTCTAACTACCTATTATTATGACTATATTTTGTATTTTTGATAACTTTTAAATTTAATATATTGATTACTATAATAATTACTAAGACTTTTATCATTGTCAAAGACTTTTATTTTCAAGATTGATCATATTTGATTTGATATTTGTGATACTTGTGACTTATAATAAACTTTAAAATAGAATAATACTTATTATACAGTATTTCCACCCTCTGCTGATTTCAAATACCATTCAAATGCTTTTTTCTCATCTTTTTGAGTTCCTATACTTTTATCATAACAATAACCGAGATTACATTGTCCTACAGCATCCCCAGCCTCTGCTGATTTCAAATACCATTCAAATGCTTTTTTCTTATCATTTTGTGTTCCTATACCATTTTGATAACACCAACCGATCTTATTTTGTCCTCCAGCATCTCCACCTTCTGCTGATTTCAAATACCATTCAAATGTTTTTTTCTCATCTTTTTCTATTCCTACACCATTTTGATAACACAAACCGAGCGCAAGTTGTCCTACAGCATCTCCACCTTCTGCTGATTTCAAATACCATTCAAATGCTTTTTTCTCATCTTTTTCTATTCCTAAACCATTTTGATAACACAAACCGAGCCCAAGTTGTCCTCTAGCATCTCCACCCTCTGCTGATTTCAAATACAATTCAAATATATTTTCCTCCTCATTTTTGGTTAAGGATTGCATATTTATTATACATGCACATGTAATTTGTTACCGTACAATGTGCTCTGAAATAATAAGAATGTGAAACGCATTTAATTATGTGGTGGTTCGGTTTGGTTAAACCAAACAAACCGGTTCATGCATAATCGGTTTATGTGTAACATACTTCGGTTAAGTGTAACTAATTCAAAAAATTAAATCACATGTCCAAAATTACATCACGTAATGCCGGATTACTTAGAACATCGTGCAGTCCCCGATTTGGTGCGTCTAACACTGTTGAGTAATAAATATAAAATGAGTAATAAATATAAAAGAATTATCCATTAATGCTTGAAGCAGATTCCGCACAAATTACTACGGAAATTCCCATTTCTTAGCATCAGCATAAATGCCGCTTCAAAATGCTATACAAAATTCTTACCTTGTGATTTCAACGTCAGCACTGCCTTCTCTAATAATGTTAGCATAAAATTAATAGTTTATGACCTCAAAATTAGTGATCATTAAACATTCGTATCGTATGTTTTTTTCTTTGAACATAGAAACATTTATATCAACATTCATATTTTATTATAGTTAGACTTCGTTTTACTTTTATAATTAATTCTTTGTTTCGAAGCATAACTACGCCTCTTTTTGTAATTTGACCTTCCAGATCCTGTGAAACTGTGTATAAAGTGATATAGTCCTAAAAATTGTATTTAAAGAATAGTTATCTGAATGTATGAGAATTAAGCAATGGGTGGTTTGAATCAAAATAAATATTAAATTTACTTTGATACTTACCTAACTGCGCACTTCGGCTCTTATTTCTTTCGTGTCATAACAAAATTGATGGTTTTTATTTCTTTTGTTCTTAACAAAATTGATGGCTTTACTTTATTTTGCCTTAAAAATTTGATATGCTTCTTTTGATTAGTTTGTTGGCCGCAACAATTAGTCCAACTATATGTTTTGTATTGTAGATCAGAAACTACCCGTATTTCTGTGGAATCCATGAAACCTTTTAGTTTTATCCCGAATACCTTTTTCAAATATCTTATTCCACACTCTCTTTATCATCTAAACAATAATTTTCGTAAAAACTATCATATAAGACCTTTAGAACAACTAGAGAACCTCTCCTTGTAAATAATTAAGTTCAAGCTTCCCAGCACCATCATGTTATGTCCTAATTTTTTTATTTACAGCATCTTTAGAAAGTAGCATAACACTATAATTATCGATGATTAAAATTCAACGATATCACAATATCTGCGTATACTAAATACATATTTTGTTTTATTAACATTGAATTATAAATGTTATTAAAAAAAGATTTAATTAATGTTGAAATATAAAAACTACATATTAAAAACGAAAATTCTAATAGAATAATATATCCTGAATTTTTATCAATAAATGCAGTTTTAGGTAAACCGATTTCTAGTACGAGAAGTGTATTGCTAGTAACTGGAAAAACTTGTACAGAAGCAATATTTCTTGCTTGTATACTTAGCACTTAATATTGTATATTCTTTTTCATCCGTTGACCACCAATTTAACGGAGCAACATTTTAATCAAGTGTTTATCCGGGTTACTAAAAGTTTATTATGTCCATTTGTTCAGATAAATTAAAGATAACAGTAGTCAATTTATATAGCTGATGACACTTTTTACATAGGCGTTTTTATAAATATTTACCAAACAATTGAACTGTTTGCATTAACAAACTTTGGACAGCACAAGTCCTCCGTTTGTTATAAAACCCACTTACGAATTGATAACATCTTTAATAAAGCTATCATTCTGTAGTTATAATAGTTTAAATTAAATATAAGATCTACAATAGAAATTGTGTGTTTTGAATATCTTATGACGTTCCCCACCATATAAAGATTGAATAATAGTTGCTAGATTTTCTTTCAAATGAACAAATTCAAAATCTTCGTAAAATAAGCGTGATATTGGGAGATTGATTATAATTTTTATTAGAATCGGCAGAAAAAAGTATTAAATTAGGTCATACCGAGAAAGAACGCGGAATAAAACACCATCAAAATAAACGGGCAGGAACAGAGACAAATTGACGCGATCATTATACTTTTTAGAATATTGAGCATTATAATACAAATAAAATCTTAATTGACAGAAAATTATTTATATAATATAGTTAAATTTCGTTATTGATAATTTAGAATATGTTAAATAATCACATAAAACCTTGATGATCTTCGGTTGTTCGGTTTATTCGGTCTTCTAGATTAGAAAAGTATAGAATGCTTCTATTTTGTTCAAATTTGACCCCAAAATTACCTAATTTTTTAATCCGATCCGTTTAAAAATATTTTTGTAATCATGTGTGTAATTGTTTAAAATCACATTACATATCGAAATGGTGCAGTAATTTGCCCAATCATTAGATGCCAATAAATTTATGATTCATAAATATTCTCCCTGTTAAGTGGATTTATTTAAAGAAGCTCATAAATCTTTATATATCTTAATATATGTATACTGATACGCTCAACTCAGAAGTTAGGTTGACCAAAGAATTGAAGGGTTCGAGCTAGATTGAATGATTTACGCAAAGTAGGGTATTATTAAGGTCCTAAAAAGTCTTCTATGCCAAACTTCCACAGAGATAGTGCAATCGAGTGTATTAATAAAATTTAAAGTCAAATAAACAAAATTTGCTAAAAAAATTAAAAGAATATTCATAAAAATTAACAAAATATATACAGGCAACTCTGGATATTTACGAACCTCTTTATAACGAATTTTAGCGGGCTCTATAAAAATATAGTAATTTTATATAACGATCTTTTTTTTATAACCACAAGTTTTTTATAGAAAGAGTCGACTGTATATTTACAAAAATCCGATTTGTCACCTTCATACAATTTCATTAAAATTGCAAATAAAGATTAGAGAAAAGAAACAAATAATAATAATGCTTAAAGAAATAAAGTTACAGTAATAAACAAAGATTCTTTAATTTCATAATCTCGTTAGATTAAACATAAGTGTTTTCTAACATCAAGAACTCTATACTTCTCTGATTAACTTTGTTACATTACATAAAATTTTAACATTGTTAAACTTGACAATGTCAATACAAAATAAATTAATTATTTTTAAGAAAAATTCTTCCACGCTGTCAAAAACTACAAGGATATTTGGCAGTGTCAAATAAATATTAAAGTGACAAACTATTAACTATATAATTGGATAATAATTTTGAAAACACAAGAAATTATGAGATTAATGAATTTAGTATTATGATAGTAACAATATTATCATTCGAATTGCTTGACTAAATAAGTCGAATGATAGTATTTTTTGCTCGAATCGGGTCGCTGGGTGTCGAGATACTGCACTCTAAAGTGATGTTTCATTGTATTCGCGATGTAGATTTTTTGATTAATTCTTGATACGAAAGTTTATCGGCCTATGAGTTATGGGAGTCAGTGACTTATAATTTTAATAATTTTAGCTTTAGTTATACATGTACATATAATGCTATCATAGAAAAAAAAGAATAAGTTATGCTAAATTCTGAGCTAATTCTTAATATGGAATCAGATATACATGTATAAAATTTTTAATAAATAATTTTTTCTTGTTTCTTTGTTGAATTTCATCGTGGGTGATGGCTCTGGCTTGCTCAGCAAAATTTTTAATGTACACATTGGATAGTGAGCGTCTAAGATTATTTATCGGTTTTTATAAAAATTTTATCTACTCACCTTCATTTTACATAAGTTTGTTTAGAACGAACATCGTATCATTTTTCTTGCATTTTTTATTGCGTACATATTATTCGAGTGCGATGACGTGCTCTATGTATTAAGATATATTATAAATTATAATCTTACTATGAAAATAATGTAATGCGCATTTTGATTTTATCGTTATCGTTCATGTATATATCAAAGTTCAAAAATGTGATTGGTGTATAGTAATAGCGATAGCGTTATTATAAATAAGATGATTTGATCACATGAGCTAAAATAAATGTACTTTTGGCAGGTTGGTGTACAGCGGAACTGCCTTGACTATTTCGATGATTGGCATTGTCATAAAGTTGGAACAGTTTTTTGAAGGAGATTTTAACTGAGCAAAGTCAATTGTGATTTCTCTTCCGTCATTTTTTTGCTAGATATTATCCCATGGCAACCTGAACATCTTTGGAATTTACAAAATCTATGTATCCAAGTTAAAATTTGCAAAATATACATTACATATAATTAATGAGACAAAAAATAATATGGGTGTTATGATTTAATCACTCACCTACACCTATATCTGCAATTTCGAATTGAGAAAATACTTTTTGTAAAGTTTCCCTATCCGTTTTATTAATTTCCTATATAAATAGAGTTTTCTTGATTAGATACAGTTGTTTTTGGTTTTTTGGTTTTTGGAATTCTTGTTGCGAAGCCTTCTGCTTATTATCGAATCTTGAAATTTGTTGTTGTGCGTTTACCTACTATTCTTGTTGGTTATGCTACTTTCAGATGATGACGATGACGAAGATGAAGAGGAACCATTGGCATTAGGTTTTTTAAGTTGTGTTGCGTCAATGACTTCGTTATTGGATTCATCAGAGTTTGCTGTTATTTGAAGATTTTCTTTTTTCTGTCTTTGCTCTTCATCTTCTGAACTGCTATCAGAAAAGTCATCAATTACTTCCTTTTGAGTTATTATTAAAATTATCTTCGGATTCATCCTCATTACTATCTTCCTCGTCAGTAACTTTTCATTATTTGTGATTCCTCCTCGTTTTCCTCCTCATTGCCTTCTTCAGAATCTTCATCACTAGAAACTTCTTTTGTTTGATTACTTTAAAAAATCTTATTGGTTGTATCTTTAAGACTAGTTTTTGCGTGTTCGCCAACCGACGATTCATTAGACGAAACCTAATTTGATGTTGTTTCGTCCTCTGAATCGGTGCTTATTTTTATCCGGCTTAGGTAACATTTTGCTCTTTAAAATTGTTTCCAGTATTCAAGTTCTGTGGCGTCGACAGCTTTGCATCCTTTTTCAAATTCATAGAAATATCCTTCTTTTGATTTATTGATTTGGATTTTCCACTATTATTTGGTTGTTTCTTGGTCATTTTGTCGATAGAGAATAAAATTGATTGAAGAGTGAAAAATTTAGTAGAAATTTCGCAGATTATCAAAGATCAAAAATTTTCTTGTATCAACAAAATACAGACTTTTTTAATATTATACATGATGAGACTTTATTTTTGTCCTAAAAAAATTTCAAGTGTATATTGGATAGTAATGACGATAGTAATATATACATGTAATAATATAATTCTGTACAACCACCAGAAAATAAAAGCATTTACGATGGACAATGGATAGTCCAGATTCATTGTATTCATGTCTGCTAATCCACATTTGTTGGAAAGTTGAGAGCTGAGTGAGTAAATAAAAAATATTAGTTTACTCTGATTATTAGGAATAAAGCAATGATTATAAAGAAATGGTAAAACCGAGGCCAAGATAGAACCACTAATCCAGAGTATTTGCGTTCCGGTGGTGCAACAATCCAAGATAAATTAAAACAAATAAATTTTAACTAATACTAATACTATATTAATGAACATTGCTCGATTTTACCTTAACTTTCATGCCTAGTATATGAAGAAGGAGAGAAACAAAAATTGATATAATTAACAAACAACGATTTGCTCGGTTTAAATATTTTTGTATAATTTTTAACTTACATGAAGGAGCTAAAGCTGTCATTTCTTTTTGCATTCTGTCTGCAATTCCGGCAAACATTGTAGTACCGTTATTAAATAATAGTAAAACATAAATCAATAGCGGATAAATTATAAAATTTTTAACGTAGGAGATATCTTACCCAGAGAGCACAATATTTCGATAAAGATCTTTATGGAGATCAACATCACACTTCATGATAGAATTATAGGTAGTTTCATGAATACCAGCAGCTTCAAGACCCAAGAATGAAGGTTGGAATAAAGCTTCTGGCGCACGAAAACTATTTATTTTACAGAAAGTTAACATCTCCTTATTATAAATTTATAGGATAAGTATTTGAATCACCGTTCATCTCCGACAGTAATTACTCGTCCATCAGGAAGTGCATATGTTTTTTCAAATGCCGAAGATTGAGCTGCAGTTTGTATTTCTTTTTCAAAGTCTAAAGCGACATAACATAATTTTTCTTTGATGTCATGTACAATTTTGCATTCGGTGGTGGAGAATGAATATCCTCGTTCCATAAGAATTTTCATGAGATAATCGGTCAAATCGCGTCCAGCCAAATCGAGACGTAGAATAGCGTGAGGCAAGGCGTAACCTTCATAAATTGGAACGGTGTGAGTAACACCATCACCAGAATCAAGAACAATACCGGTGGTACGACCGGAGTCATACAATGACAATACAGCCTAAATATATGGATATAAAGTTGTGAGAAAAGAGGATAAGACGCAAAAGCAAAATAGAAAAATTGAATATATAATATTTACTTGAATAGCAACATAGAAAGCAGGTGCATTGAAAGTCTCGGACATAATCTCAGTCATATTTTCGCGATTTAACTTAGGATTAAGTGGTGCTTCAGTTAAAAGCACAGGATGCTCTTCAGGAGAAACGCAAATTTTATTGTAGAATGTGTGATGCCAAATTTTTTCCATATCGGCCCAATTTGTAACGATACCGTGTTCGATGGGATATTTCAAAATCAAGATACCACGAGCTTCGTTCCCTACGTACGTATCCGTTTGTCCCATTACACTTTGACGACGTGAGCATCCGACAGTAGATGGGAAAATCTGGTTTCAAAAGATATAATAAGTAAAGGTAGATAAATCAAAATTAAAAGTCTAAATATTTTTTATTAGCAGCAATGCAACAGAATTTTTTACAAAAATTCAGCATACCGCACGGGGTGCATCATCACCAGCAAACCCAGCTTTGCATATTCCAGAACCACTATCAATAACAAGCTAAAAGAATAAAAGATGTTTGTTTTAAAAAACATTTTACGGAGTTTTACCAACTATAAATACGTCTGTATAGTTGGATTATTTTAAATTACTCAACCCAGAGATTTTATTGAAAGCAAACTTACGGCGGGGACCCCTTCATCCATTATAGGGATGTTAACTGTTATAAAGAGTTCGGTTTGAGTCTCAAACTAATTTATGAAATTAAACCGATTTATTAAAATCGCTTATTAGAGGTTTGGGAAGCAGCTAAAACTCAGTGTGCCCCGTTTTTATTAAATGAATGGTGTATTACCTTGCTAAAGTACGGTAAAACAAAATTATGAGTTTTCGTTGTATTGAACAAGAAAATGATAATTTTTTAACCAATGATGCGACTATTGGAAATTTCGCAGTCAGACACTCGCGAGAACATTAATAAGATTCAAATATACACCGTCTTGTCGTAATCTGTCGCATTCAGTATGCATCATATAAATTGCCACTTTTATTCTCCGTGCATTCCGCAACTCGGTAATCTTGTCAGAACTTGAAAGCTTATCGTTATTCTTTATAATAAATTTTAACTATTTTTAGTAAATTTAATTTTTTGCCATTACCGTTACATGTACGATACAACTGTAAAGGTCTCAAAATCGAGCATACCGGTGTTGTACATGTACCGTATCGGTATTATATGTAATTAGTAAAGCGATGAAAGCAAATTTTCGCTCTGAATATAACATCTTAATGTTAAAAGTTAATTTATTCAATTTTATTACTCATACTATTTTCTGCTACATGTATTTTTATCTAATTTCAGCAACAAAGAACTGATGAGTTCAAGTGTTATAAAATAAACTGGTTAGAACTTTCATACAGTTCTAAAAGTTTTGAATAAATACATGCTATACATATTAGCTAGTACATGTAATTTATCGTTATAGGATTTAGTCGTAGAAAATTATTTCTGTAAATTGTGTGAAGAGTATCGATATGCATAACCATCTTTGCCATCTATTAATAGAAATTCGGTTGTTTGTGGTGGGAATTCTGTATGTAACCCGAAATTCGTATGCAAGTATGAATTCTCATGGTTGGAAATCAAGACCATTTATCATCGTCCATTAATAGAAATTCGTTGTTTCCGTATATACATATGCTATCAATAGTTGGATGGCAAAGATGATTAAGTATACTCTTTCCGCAATTTACAGAAATAATTTTCTCTATAAACTACATACAGTATATCTGCTAATATGCAGTATTGTTATTTGGACGGAACAGGAATATGGATGGGATATAGACATAGACGGGATGGGACGGGACAATTTATTATAATGTCCAAAAATTAATGTCCAAAGATATAATTATTATAAATAATTATTTTACTAATATTTTTATTAAATAATAGAATTTATTATGTTTTACATTTTTTTTGTATTTTATATAATTATGTATAATATATTATGAAAATTAAATAATATATATATTTATAAATTATATAAAATATAAAAAATTATTTATTTTATTTTTATAAAATAATAAAAAACTACAGTGGCGACCAAAAGTAATGACTCAGGGGCTAAATTTATTAATAAAACATAGTGAAAATTGAAATTTTCTCTCTATATTAAAATTTATAATTTTATTAAGAAATA